ACATGTCATCATCTTTTACACCATAAATCAGGGTACCTGCACTTATTTTTTTCTTAATGTGGCAAATAGTAATCTGTGTACGATAGTAAAGAGAAATTCCGTGTCAATTTCTCCTCAATAAAAAGTCTATTGGCTGCCTGTTAAATATTCAGAAATCAGAAAAGGCAGTCACTTTTCTGATGTGACTGCCTTACAGTCACATCAGTACCGGATGAATTAGCCGGCTAATTCTTAGCTGCTAAATCTTAGCCGCTAATTCTTAGCTGCTAAATCTTAGCCGCTAATTCTTAGATGCTAATTCTTAGATGCTAATTCTTAGCCGCTAATTCTCAGCCGTTAAGCTAATTCTTGTATTACTACTTATTATAAACTGCAGGTGTTACCATGGCTACTGGTAACGTTCACTGCCTACTTCCAGCTAACAACCATGCAGCTAACTTGGATTAACGTCAACTTGTTAGTAAAGGCTAGCTACAGAAAACATGGCTAACAACAAGCTAACATTAGCTTTTCAGTCTTAGCTTCACTTTGTAAGAAGAACATAGAAGTTTGATCTTGATGCTGAAATAGAATCTGCCTTGAATCAACTTTGTGTTTATTTTAGGCCCAACAGTTTGAAACATTTGTTCCCCTGTTTGACCTATTTATTTAAAACTGTGCATTCATGTTTTAGCTAACAGTCATGTCAGCATGACATGACATGAATAATGAAATACTAGTTATGAAAATTAAACTAGTATATTTTTTAGCTCTTGAAAGTACTATGATAGCAATATATAATATTACTGTAGTCAAGCTAATAATGAATTTAAAAATAAATGTTAGTTTGCTTCTAAATAATAAAACTATGCATTAAGTATCTTGAAATAGTTTTTACTACCATCCATTGGTGAAGTGATAGGGATGTCGACATGAGTTCAGATGTATCCTAATGCATTCACTTGATTTGTCATTGTGTGCTTTGAGTCAGACTGTGTGTGTGACTGTTGTGTCCACATTGTCTTTAGACTTCCTATAAAGTTTTCAGTAATTACATGACGGCGTACTCTTGACACTTTATTCCTGAGGTTGTTAGTCAAACATTTTCTTCCTTATTAAGGTTATCATTTCATCACCATATGGAGCATGTCTAGCATGAACAGAGATGACATTTTCCTCTCTGTAAACCAAGTTTCTGTGTCATTCCTGATGCACGACACACAACAATTTTGCTGACAAACACATACTGAAATTACAGTGTTAATGGACTACAGAAATCATACATTGTACCATTAAACAGGGGTCATTGTGTTGTTTTCTTGTATTGCCGCCATACATTATGAGAAGAGAAGCTCAGCACAGAAAACCTAGAAACGTTTCCCACTGAATACAGCGCAGCATTTCCTGTCACATGATCCCTGTTCCGTATTAATGGAGTCCTTACAGGCTACGTTTTTAGGGGGAGAAGACGAGCAAAAAGGAAGAAAAAGAGAGTTTGCACATGTTCATCACCAGAATGCTGTCACCTCTGTTTTTGCATGAATATCATCTGTGTGAATGTTCCACCAGCCTCTGCGGGCTCTGACGTCTGCCACGTTTGATGCTTAATTAAAAGCATATCAGGAAGAGAAGGGAGCTTTGTGGTTTGTTGCACTGCGTTTTGAAAAATATGCTAATTTCTATAAAAATGCACTAACAAAACATACTAGCAGTCGCTGACGGCTGAGAAATACAGGAAGGCTGAACGAGAGGAAGAAAGTGGTTAAACAAATGAGGGTTGAGTGGAACTGAAACATCATTTGGCAGAAATAATCAAACAGGGGACAACATACATGTGCCGCCACTACCATTTCCACTCTTTAATTTATTCCGGCAGCCAAATAATGCAAATGAGCGGTGCTTGTTGGCGGCCCTGACGACTGCAGATAACTTTGGTTTCCATCTACGCCCCAATCTGCCTGAGGATGGAGCAGTGCTCCCTGATCAGCTGGTGCCACTGTCGCAACAATAAGCAAACACTCAATTCTTAGAGCTAAACATGGCACTGTGCGTCTGCTGGATGAACTTCCTGTTGAGGTGATGTGACATCACAAAGCATCAGCAGATTCATCATGAAGCTGAAGCTTTTGGCGTTGGGATGCTTCCAGTTCTAGAGATTTCCCACATGATGAAAGTGATTGGACAAAAAAAAAGTAGATTTCAATGGCTTTCTGTGACTTTATATTAACTATTGCAGCTGCAACCTGGTCCCATCAGGAAAACCATGTGCACTCTGAATCAAACAAATCAAAAAGATACAAAAAGTACTGACTCCCTGACAGGTTTTGATTTATTTACAGTAAATAACGGAAATGCTATTGGTTAAAGATAATATGCATAAAACCAATATACGTCGGAAAAAAGGTAATCACCCCTATGGAAGACCATTAGGCTCACTGAAAACAAAACTATTCAGGCTTTCTTTCCTCAGATTCCTCACTTTAATCTTCTGACAAAAAAAAGTTCATTTTTCCCAGTGGTCCTAATCCTCTTCCATACCCCAAACAATGGTTCTCTAATACACACATGATTCAATTTGAATCTGGAAAGCTACAGGAACCATTATAGGCAATAAAAAAGATCCTAAAATCTTCCAGCGTTGCTCTGCAGAGGCAGCGAGAGAGAATGCAAATGTTAGCTCAGTTTGCTCTGGACTTCTTCTGGGGGATTTTCATCCTAGCCTCCCAGTAAAATGTCTGGGAGTGAAGCCAGTGAGGCCAGGTTCAAGTGCAGCAGCAGAGCATCCAGAGCCGCTACAGCAAACGGCTGGAGTTCTGCTGACCTCTCAACTCAGCCATATTCTGGATTCACTCAAATCCACCTGGTGATCACTCCAACTTTGAGATGGGGAATAATAAAATTCACTCATCCTTCTCAAAGTGTTGTTTAAAAAAAACAGATTTTCCAAAGCATGCTTTTCTAGTAAGGTTTTTCCAGTAAGTTCTCCTGAGAGCGCTAAGCAAACAATTTCTTTCTTTTTTTTTTTTTTTAGTTATAAAAGTGCAACTTCCTCAGAAAGACCAACGTTTCATGAGAAAACGATAGAAACCTGTCTCACATCTCACTTGGATAGTTTCTGTGAACTCATGCTACATATAGGCTGTAAGAAACTTTGCTAAAACTATAAACATGATGAACTTTGTTAGATGTTTGGACCCAAAAGTAACACAGCTGATCTTACTTTCAGAAAAAACGGGAAGATTTGCTATGGAGCTAGCAAAGTCCAAATCACCAAACTAAATCACCAAAAAACATATAACAACAAAATGTATGTATATTTTGAATCTTCAATTCAAAAACGATTTTTTGGACAAATTATAGAATGAAAAACAACAAAGATAAGTATTGATTTTGTTATTTAGATTATTGCACTATCAGATTTATGCAAAAATGCTTTTAGATTTATTTTAGCCTTCTAGACATTTCTGGAACTTGCTTAAATGAGTCATTCTTTAAAAATGTGGACACTGACATTAGCGTTAGCTGCTACATGTTTAACATTGACATGCTATTTCAGGCTTCAGTTGCTTCACTGCGAGGCTAACTCCTTTTTGCACAACATTCACACAATGTTTTCAACAGTCCAATCAGATCATTTTTGAAGCAAAATTAACAATCAGTGAGCCGAGAGAAGCAGCTTCATTGTCCATCTCTGTTAATGGATGTCTCTGGTGTGTCAGGTTTATGGGTGTACCACAAGCACGCAGTTGGAGTGCGGGGGGAGGGGTGAGGGTTGGGGAGGGGGTGTAACGTGTTAAATTTATTTAAATTTATCAAATATTTCTTAAGGTGTTAAATATGAAATATTAGGAAGTATTTCATTGATTCTGCTAGAATTCTTTCAGTTTGTGAAATTGAAGCCATTTGTTTCCACAGAGGTTCGAAGAAGCAGCCTGCACGGCTGAAGTCAGTGGCTTGGAGGAGTAAGTGAATACTTTTGGTAATCTATCATCTCAGACAAAAACATTATATTTGTTCAGAAAGCAACAACTCTTCTGTTTTCTGAAGTGCAGCAGGTTAGTTATCAATTTTATGGCCTCAGAGCTACTGAAAGTAATTAAATATTTGAATGAAATGTTAAAGTTTGGGCTATTTTCATCTGTGGCTGCTTTCGGTGGATCTAACATCTGTGTTCCCAAATGGTAGAAAACTAAGAGCTCTGCATCGATCGAGCAAGCCGGTCACATTTATCACACATTGCTGGTGATGAAGAGACGGACTCTGTATGGCAACAGCAAGGTGAGGAGCTGATGCACACCACAGCATGCAGCAATGAGAGGGTCAGAGGTGAGCGGCAGTTAGGCAGGCAGCAGCAGAAAAAATAAAACGTTCAACAGAAAATAAGAAACAGAGAGAGAGAGAGAGCAGGAGGAGGGAAGACTTCTCCAACCTCACAGTTCACGTCTTTACAGGAAGGTAAACAGAGGAACAGACATTAAGGACAAACACATGGAGGCAGATGGACTGAGAGAGAGAGGTGAAATAAAGGAAACAGTACAAGACCCCCTGCTGTTAGGTCCCCACGCAGAGAGGGGGAGGGCTTCACCCCTCTGAGTCCGCCTGATGAGGTCGACCCCGCGGTCCACCTGCGGCCCAGAGGACCGCCCACGCAGACACACAACAAAGACAAGACTGAGGCACTGAAACAAGAAAGAATACTTTTAGACAAGACACAGAGACAGAGACGAGGAGACCAGAGCAAGGAAGAGGATGAACGAAACATGAAGGTGGCGTTTTGGTTTGCTTGAACGAATGAAGCGTGGCGGGATGAGGAGATGGATGAGAGGTGAAGGCACTCTGATACTTTCTAGGGAATGGATATATTCTAGTTTATAGTACAGAACCCTCCACTCTCTGGAGATCGTCAAGCTAAGCAGCTCCAGAAAGTTCAGATGCACCCGCAGCCCGCCGGGCAGATTCAGACGGGAAACAGGTTGCAGAAACACAGGAATTGATGTTCACCGCCTATGGGCTCCACTCACCGCAGGGCCCTGGCTGCTTGGTCCTAATCAGGCTCTTGCTGAGGCACTCGGCCTTGCGGCGCAAGCAGTTGTTGGGGAAGGTGCGCCCGTCCACGCTGCACAGCGGCTTGTAGGTGTCATCACACTCGATGGGATCACAGGAGCAGCGGGCGCCGCTCTGCTCCACCACACACACGGCGTTGAACAGGCAGTCTTCTCTGCACGTCTCTGGAAGCAAAAGGAAAACAATGATGAAATGAACCGCTATCGGGGCAAACTGACTTCTTCTGCACCACCTGGACTTAATGCTTCTGGTTTTCAACCCCACTGGTGACCACTGGGAAGCGCTCTGCATCCTCTGGTTGATTTTCTTTACAGATTTGTTATACGTCTGTACGAATGCAGATAAGGCTGGATTTGGCAGTTGCGTGACGGACTAATCGCTGCAAAGGAAAAGGACAACGAATGTAAAAAAGAAAAATGAAACAATATTTAAATCTGGGAAGCGTTGAAACGTTGCCAGCAGTGTGAGCAGCCGAACTGCTGGGAAATAAATCAGTTTTTATCCAAACAGTAATAACATGTCAGGATAGACTGATGTCACCAGTGGGGTGTGGAAATGCTTCTCTTTCAGGAGCAAAGGTCAAACCTTCCAAAGACATACAATAAAAATATGAACTCAAGATTTTTGTTTATAACTGGCAGCAAAAGCAAAAAAACAACTGACACAGTTCTGTGAGTCATAAAGACATTTATGAAGAACCAGAAGACTTTTAGTAGCAGAAATATTTTATTCTAGAAAACACTAATGTCTTTATATCTGGACTTTCTACATAAAATCATAATAAAATTACATAATATAGCAGATGGATGGACGGACAGATGGAAATGAATAAACTTTTTACATTGGTTTCATTTGGGAGAATACATCATGAAATAGCTTTCATGATGTATTCTCATCTCTCTGACTAACTCAGTTTCATAAAAACTTCTCTCTACACCAATGATTCAACAAAAGCCCCCTAAACCATTAAACTCAAAGTTGTTCTATAGCTTTGAAGATAAAGTTTCCCAAAAAACTTTGACACAAAAACCCTAACCATTAGTCATAAAATAGAATTTTAGGGTTTTAAATTAAAATCAGACCATTATATTAGCAGGAATCTGCAGAAGGAATTAGGAGAAGCAGAAGGAATAGTGGTAATGTGAAACGGCACATTTGCTACTGAAGTGAGAAAATCCAATTTGAAGGGTGGCCTCTGTTCTGGAGGCGCTCGCCACACTTCCACGTTTATTTCACTCCTGATCAGTGGATTAAATTTGTACAGCCATCCAATTCCTTCTCCTCTTTTCCTTAAAAGCCTGTCATGCCACATTTAATTATGCCGCTGCTCTATCTGAGTGCGAGGGCTACGCGGATGTGCGATGTCATGCCTACAAGGCGAAATGGCCATTTTCATTAGTTACCAATTTGTAATTTGGTTTGGTATATGATTTCATGGATCTGTGTTTCAAATTGAATTATTCTTTTATTTGAAAAACGGGGCAGCACAAATGTGGAAGGGGTTGGAAGAAATAACTCATTCACTTGCTTACATGCATGAACTTGGTCACACCAATAAACACAAGCCAGCAGATCTGCTGTGGCTGAGGTCTATGTGCCCTGCAGCCTCGTCATCCTGTCAGGTAGAGCGGGAAGCACAGAGTGTCAAAAAATGGATATCAGCCTTCAGTGCAGCCTGAACCAGAGGACGCCCTGTACTTAGATCCATTCTTGTCTCTGGCAGTATCATAAGGTCTTAGTGCATTAGTGTTGCCACACGTTATGGGTGTAAACCTGCGCAGCAGTTCCACAGCGACAACACAACGCACAAATTGGATTTCCTCCGATGGCTATCAGGCGTACAGTAAAAGCTGACAGCTCTTTGTTGACTGAGGCTTAAACCCCATGTTCTAATAGCAAAGATAACAGCTTTTATCAGGCGGGACTGGAGGCCCATGATACAGCTGAGATACAGCGCAGACTCTGCAACCTCACCGTAATTTACCTCCAAATCAGCCACAGAAACACACCAACTTCTTCTCATCAAGTTTCACCCTTCAGTTTTACTTTTAGAAGGACAGATTTACTGTGATTGGCAAAATATGCACACCTCTGTCACCGCTTGCCACTTTACTGTGCCAAAATATAAAGCTGCAGTATGTAACTTTTCAAAAAACAGTTGTTTTTACACTTCACCATGTTGACAGTTTGTCATGAGATATTCTGTGAAAACATCGATATCCTCCATCTTCTCTCTGAGCTGCTGCTGCTGTCTGAAGAAATTCACCAAAAACAACCAATTAGAGCCAGGAGGAGGGGCTTAGAGCCATCAATCATCCTCATGCATTCGCTGCAACATCAAGATCTGTTAGCCACTGGCTCTGATTGGCTGTTTCTAGTCCACACTGGGAGAAATGGAAGGAGGTGGAGAAGATCCAATTTGTCACACATTGTCTCTCATTCAATAGATATGGGAAAATAACTTATAAAGTTACAAACTGCAGCTTTAATGTGATTTTATGTGATAGACCAAGACAAAGATGAGATGGATACAACTTTTCTCTTACAATTAACATCTGAATAGAGGAAGATGCATTTCTATGTTAAATTAATATTAACTGGAGCCACAATGGAAGGGCTTAGATCACAGCTCATTCAATGGCCTAGTTAAAGTCCAGATCTAAGTCTAAATAATAGTTGAAATTGATGTTGATAAGCTATCAAAACAACATGCAGCTTTAATTACAGAAACATTTGTTTTCTCAAAGTATTATCTCAGAGAAGCCTGAAAACAAATGCACACTGCTTTTTAAATGTATAATTATAATTTGTTTCTATCAAATAAAGCCAAATGAAATGGCATGAAAGCTTGTATTTTTAGAAATGTGCAAAAGTTCAGAGGGGAATTGAATGCTTTAGTGAAGCAATGTACTTGACACAGCTGAAAGTTGTTTTCTCTTTCTACAACAATGGCATTGTAAACATTTGTTCATCATGAGGCGATTCTCACGCCATGACAGAAATTCAAAAAGAAAAAAATGAGACAAATAAGTACGGGGTTTGTCCTGATATTCTTTCAGGCTGTTCCTCTTACCCGACTTTCTGCACGCTCCGGCGTGAATCTTCCTGAGGCTGATGCCCTTCTGCACGCCGGTGGCCATCATGGCGCACTCGCTGAGGTAGGTGTGACCGTCGCTGGCGCACAGAGGCTCGGATTCTGGTCGGCATGACTCTGGTGGTCTGTAGAGCTGCGGCTGGCGTGTGACGGCCTGGACTCGGCAGATGGTGTTGAGGCTGTTCTCGCTGTCTTTACATGGGTCTGTGGAGGCGGCGACAGGTTAGCATGTCAACAGTCATTACAGTACACCACCGCTGACAAAACACTTAAGATGCCGACCCAAAGGGCATCACTGACAGACTGAGCAGTGACAGTGACTCAGCTCGTTGTGGACCAGTAGAACTACTCACTAATAAATGGCTGTATTTATGAGTGGTTTTAATGGAAATTGATCAGAACATTAAATCAGGTTGCTGCTCTTTGGTCAGAATCAGAACTTCAGTGCTCAACCTTCACAGTTTTTAAAAAGAAACTAAACTAGCTGAAAGCAAAGCAGTTACCATAGTATCTACCACAACTTACTTCCTGTTTTAATGCTGATTCTGTCTGTTGGTTGTTTTTGTTGATGATGTTTTACTTGTTTTAGTAGAAATGTGTCTGCTGCCTGCGTTCTGTCTTGTGAATTGTGTAACATGTTTAGTTTTTTGCTCTTACTTGGACAAAGGATGAAATGTAGCTATTGTGCATATTTACACTGTGATGAATTATGGTAGTGTTGATTAATGTGCACTGCCCCAATCAAACAAATTAAATTAAATTTAAAATAACCTTGCACCATATTTTCTGGACTATAAGTCGCACCAGAGTACAAGTCGCATTTTTGAGGGAAATTTATTTGATAAAATCCAACACCAAGAACAGACATGTCATCTTGAAAGGCAATAAAAATAGAATAGAGGCAACAACAGGCTGAATAATTGCACAGTATGTTAATGTTACATGACAAACAACGACCTGAGAACGTGCCTGGTAAGTTAGCATAAGTGAGTTAGCATTAAGAGTTATAACTATAGCATAAATAACACGCTAGCAAGTTTAACAAACCATCCGTTTCTCTCCAAATCTCTAAACGCAATGAAATCTTCGTCCTCAATGTCGCTTTTTAACAACTCTGTTAACTCTGAATGCAGAATGACACAGGCCTAGAGCGCCCTCTTGCGGTTTAGTGTGAAAATAACATGTGATATGATCCATCCATCCATCCATTTTCTGAGATCCCTTCTCCCTAACGGGTCGGGAGGTGCTGGTGCTTATCTCCAGCGGCGTTCCGGGCGAGAGGCGGGGTTCACCCTGGACAGGTCGCCAGTCTGTCGCAGGGCGACACAAAGACAAACAGGACAAACAACCACGCACACACACCTAGGGAGAATTTGGGAAGGCCAATTAACCTGACAGTCATGTTTTTGGACTGTGGGAGGAAGCCGGAGAACCCGGAGAGAACCCAGCATCCACAGGGAGAACATGCAAACTCCATGCAGAAATAAGTTGCACCCCCGGCCAAACTATGAAAAAAACTGTGACTTATTGTCCGGAAAATACGGACTATTTTTCGTTTTAAAACAGCACTACCTTATATTAGCTGTCAGGGACAATTATCAAAATGACAGAAAAAATAAAACCTGCTGAAATAAATAAATTCTGAAGAGACTGATAGCTATGTCTAAAAAAAGGAAACAGATAGAAATGTTTCAGTAAGAACTGAGAGAATAAAACAGATGGCTAACTGTTAGCATCAACCATTAGAACAAAGCTCGAGGACATTTCAGTGTTTTTAAAGCAATCTGGACTGCAGCGTAAAATGTAACTATTTAGATCACTCTAACTGGACCCTACAGCTCCACCTACTGAAGATTTGTGGCTGACAGTGTTGTAGTCAAGACCACCTAACCCGAGACCAAGTCAAGACCAGAGCCTCACTGTGATCTGAAAGATTCACATCCCCATAAAAACATCTAGATATGAAACACTTTGAGCTGAAATAAATGTAACCAATATTAAAGAAACTCTTATTCTGCTTATCTAAAAAGATAACGCCCTGGGCATTTGCCCATGTCATTCATGTCAGAAATCACCACTGTCTGCACCATTTAACATAGCAATTGACGCAATGCCCTGACAGTAAACGACGCTCCACTATGAACACTGACCAAAGAGCTAAAAGCAAGAAGTAAACCAAGCACAAGGTGCTCACCATGACTGTTCTCACCCTGTCCCACTGCATGAATCCTGGCAGCACAATGCTGTAATATCTGCCATCATGGCAGACATGATAGCTGCCACTTTGAACGAAAACAAGCAATGAGCAATGCACACTGAATGTGCATGCTCTTTCATTCCTGTGTTGTATTTATTTGCTAATCAAATAAATATCAATGTGGATACTTGAATAAAATAATGATAGCTACTGCAGTGTAAGCAGAGCATCACAAGAACAAAAAAGGGCTCTCAGTGAAGCTCCAGTCCTTCTTCTTAGTAAAGACAAGTTCGAGACCAAGATCATCAAAAAATGGTCTTGAGACCAAGACCGGTCTCCAGTACTACAACACTGACTCCTACAATGAGCTCAGCGGTTCTACCAGCTGTTTGCTCATTTCTGCTGGCTGATCTGCTGGGCATGGTTAGCCCTGCCCACCACGTCATGGCAGGACCTTCCTACTGTTAGGTCCTGCCTAATTTGGATGAGAAGAGAAGACAAGCGAATAGATGAAGAGGCCATCGCCTTGATGAGCTGCCTTCCTCCAGAGGAACCTTCTCCAGCCTCACTCTGCCTCATCAGTACACGGATCATAATGAAATGGACCTGAAGATGTGCGGGACCACAGTTTTACTTTGTGGAAACTCTGGCTTTATCCTGCTGTCCATGCTTCCAGGACGCAGGAAGACAAAAGGATTTATGCAGAACTGCAACCCATTAAATCACTGCCAAATCTGGGCGAGTCATTCAACATCCGCCAAGGATGAAACAGGCGATCATCGGGAAAGGAAGAAAGAGAAAAAGTAGCAGAAAAATAAGAGGGAATGGTTTCCAAAGACCTTTAGCAGCGGTGTGAGGAATGACAATGCCGGGGCATTTTAAGAGAGGGACAGATTGGTTTGGTTAAAAGGCAGGGTGACCACCAGGCAGGACTCGGATTGATTTCTAGCAGCACAATGCAGAGGCTTGCAGAGACTTGCAACTGAGTAAACAAGGGTTTTATCGTAATTCACGCAGTGTCTCTGCATGACGCAGTGCCTAAGCCGCCAGCCAGACCATTATCTGAGAGAAAGACCATTACCTCCCATTAACTGAGAAGGACTGCTTCCAGAACCCATGCTTTTCTCTCGCTGAGCAAGTAGGGTAATTACAAAAAGAATAGCTTGTTTGCCGCAAAAACTAGCAGCATGGATAAATCAAACGGGTTTGGCCCAAGGTTTTACATGAAATGGCTGCAGGAAGATTTAGAGAAGCATCAGGGCCATCTGCTCCCCTGAGCCTTGGTCCTTCTGAGAGAAACACGGGCGACTCGCTCCCGATTTATACGACCAACCTTCTGCCAGTGGATCTATGCATCCATCTCTCAGCAACCCAGCACCCGGCTTCAGCTCCTGCTGCTGTGAGACGGAGTTACTTTCTGTTGTTCTTTCACTCCATCTGGCTTTGCCAAGGAAGTAAAAGTTGAGCGCGTCGAGCGTAAACAACCACTTGCCAGATGATAACAAGGAAGAGTGAAAGAAGCAGACAATAACGACGGCTCTGAAGACCTACTTAGAGAAAACAACAATTCACACCACAGGAAGGCCTGCGTGAAGTAAAGCAATCTGAAAGAAAAATGAGAATTAGCTGAGGTGTGCCAGACATAACTGCACTACGAGGAGGGAAAACAACAACAGAGGCGGTGGGAGTAAACAAAGAAAATAGGAAAAAGTAGGCAAAAGTTGTTGTTTCTGTTTTGAAAACATAAAAACTTTTTTTATGGTTTCATCTCCTCAAATAGAAAGATATGCAACTGTAATCTGAATTACATTAACAGAAACCTCATGAATTATGGATTTAGAGTCTATGAAACAAATGGATGAATGTCAGAAAAGGCCAGGTCCAAAGCTACAGTTTGGCTGCCAAAGCAAGCAATGTTTGTTTTGGTACATTCATATTTACCACACAGGTAAAAATGAATGAATACCCAAAAATAGGTTGTGAAATGCAGAAGCCATTACAAAGCTGACCGGCTGGTATTGGAGCCACCTTTCTTTATTATCTTTAACTTTGACCAACCAATAGGAAAAATGATACCAGGAGAAAAAGAAGCAGAGGACGGGACTCACCACAGGGTCCTTGAAATTGGACCCGGATGTTCTTCTGGTTCTTGCAGGCTTGCTGATGGAGCTCACACTCGTTGCGGTAGTCCTTCCCATCACTGCCGCACACCATCTGATCGGGCTTGCCATCGCAGCTGAGGGGACACATGCATTTAGCTGACAGACCGTCCGACGACTGGACGCAGGTGCTGCCGTAGCTGCAGGTCACCTCGGCGCAGGGATTCTTCAGAGCTGCAGGCAGACACACATGAAAAGCTCATTTAGCCAAAAGCATTTTCTCTTTTCTTTTCTTTTTTTCCACATTGAAGAGTACATCTGTTGAACAGCAGCAGAAGAGCGCTGAACGCTCTCCATACACTAGAGTGCAGCTGCTGGCGCACTTTTAGAAGCCCACTGCAGTTGTTCGAAGAACTACTAGACACCCTTTGGGTAAGGATGTGGCGCCACAGCTGTCGACTCATACTGATGAGTCCTGTTCGTCTCGGTGAGCGGTGTGAATTGAATTACAAGCTTTGCATTTGGACCCCACATTCTGTATTGCTATGCTTGAGCAGCTTTTATCAGCCCAGCTGCACAGCAACCCTTTGAATATTTACCTTTTCACAAATTAGTCCGAGAGAAAGAAGAGAAAAGGAAGCAGAGATATGTAAGCCCCCACATGCATACCCCAAGAACAGTTTCCACCCCAATTAAACAATGGGCCACTTGTCGCTGAGTGGCTCATTCTAATCAATGGAGAAGGTGAAACTTTTAATTTTGCCTGCATTCACCATCAGCATTCTTGGTGCAGGGGGTTTCCAGGGGCCTCATGTGTTTGACAAAAGACATCCATGAGATTACAATTGCTGTTATTTCTCAGCATAATCCATATTTATGACAGTCACGGACACAAACGTTCTCTCCCCTGGGAGCGAAGCCGAGCGTTGGAAGCCCTCATTTCCAAAGCCTGGTGCCTTTTTTTTCTTTGTAATAAATATTTACCCATGTCTGATATTATCAACCCTCTTTTGTTATATCCAGCACCGACGAATTTAATTTAAAGCTGGGGTGTATAGGCTGACTTGCATATTGCTTTGTGCTGTCATCATTTGTGAGCGAAGACAAGAGAAAATGTCTTTTTTTTTATTCAAATCTGGTTCCAAAGATGGAGCAACGCTGCCTTGTTAATAACAGAGAGGAGAGCATGCAGAGATATGTATATGAAGGATGGGAACCGAGACGGGATTGCTATAAGGAGTACTATTGATCAAAGGATAGCCCCACCTTGCTTCCCTCATCTTTGTGACACATTCTCTCTTGCCCTCTTTTTCTCATTCTGCTGTCAAGTTCTTTTGAGGTCTGTTGCCTCAAAGTCACTAATGAACACCTCCTCCTTTCCGCCGAGGAACTTTGAAACTGCTTCTAGACCTAATTTTATAAGTATCTTCAAAATAAAGTGCTAAATTGTAGGCCAGACCAAATGGAGACTGGTGGAAAATGGTTAAGTAAAATCAAAAGTAATTACTGAAAATCATCAGGTACTGTGATTGGCTGATGACAGCCTTGTGGCTATCCTGCGCTGACTAGATGGCCATTCTGATGTTTTGTGTCTTATCATGTGAACAATGAGATGCTGACGACCTGCAGCATAGGGCGCTGAGGTAACAACCTTGTTGGAGCAGCAACACACAAAGCTCATCCAATGATCTTGGCTTAGACACAGTTAGCTTCAATGTGTGGCTGGGGTTTTGTCTGACAGACCAAAACATCCTGACGCATTTAATGTCAAGTGGGTGAAAAATGATTCAGTAGTGTGAAAAAGTGTTTGCTTCCTTCATGATTTTTTGTTTTGTATGTTTCTCAAAAAGCCTTGTTTCAGAACATTCAACAAGCAAATGTTCTGAAACATTCACTGCAATAAGATGCAAGAGGCCTTTAACGGCGCTGTAAAGGAATTTTGTCTGTCTGGTCTTTGCAGGATCGTTCTAACCCACACTGGAGAATGAACAGCCACATCATCAGGTCAGAGGTCAAAAGGATGGTCAGGGTTGTCCATCATTTTCTCCATTTTACGTAAAGTCCGTCTCGGCATCATCATCTCCAGAGGTTCCACGCCATTCCCAGAACAGAACCAGAACCAGAACCAGCCTTCTTTATCAGGTTGTTGAGCCTCTTCCTGGTTCTGATGGCTCTCACCAATAGGATGGAAGATCCAAACCTTGAAGGATCTTATCTTCCCCCAGTCTCTCTGTCTCTCAAATTCTGAGGCAAGATATGAAATATTATGAATTTCCACAGCTATGATCACTTTGATGGTTCCACCGCCATCCCTTATAGTACCTGATAAGGTACTGCAAGGTGCCTCATAAGGTACCTCAAGGGACCTCATAAGGTACTGCAAGGTACCTCATAAGGTACTACAAGGGACCTCATAAGGTACTGCAAGGGACCTCATAAGGTACTGCAAGGTGCCTCATAAGGTACTGCAAGGTGCCTCATAAGGTACTGCAAGGTGCCTCATAAGGTACTGCAAGGTGCCTCATAAGGTACTGCAAGGTGTCTCATAAGGTACTGCAAGGGACCTCATAAGGTACTGCAAGGTGTCTCATAAGGTACTGCAAGGTGCCTCATAAGGTACTGCAAGGTGCCTCATAAGGTACCTCAAGGGACCTCATAAGGTACTGCAAGGTGTCTCATAAGGTACTGCAAGGGACCTCATAAGGTACTGCAAGGTGCCTCATAAGGTACTGCAAGGTGCCTCATAAGGTACTGCAAGGTGCCTCATAAGGTACCTCAAGGGACCTCATAAGGTACTGCAAGGTGTCTCATAAGGTACTGCAAGGTGCCTCATAAGGTACTGCAAGGTGTCTCATAAGGTACTGCAAGGGACCTCATAAGGTACTGCAAGGTGTCTCATAAGGTACTGCAAGGTGTCTCATAAGGTACTGCAAGGGACCTCATAAGGTACTGCAAGGTGCCTAAGGTACTGCAAGGGACCTCATAAGGTACTACAAGGGACCTCATAAGGTACTGCAAGGTGCCTCATAAGGTACTGCAAGGGACCTCATAAGGTACTGCAAGGTGCCTCATAAGGTACTGCAAGGTGTCTCATAAGGTACTGCAAGGGACCTCATAAGGTACTGCAAGGTGCCTCATAAGGTACAGGCAGAATGTCTGTTCACTGCCTCATAAGGTACTGCAAGGTGCCTCATAAGGTACAAGAAAAAAAGCTGGAAGAGAAAAAGCACTAAAGACTTTTAGCTGAAAATGAAAATAAAAGGTGGGTCTACCAAGTCAGGGAAGCTGAAAGCAAACACACCACACTTTTCCAATTTTAACTTAAGATGAAAAAATGGATCATATTTTTCCTTCCACTTCATAATTCTGCAGGTTTGGTGGGTTGTGGGTTGTTTTGGTTTGGGCAGCTGCTGGTGTGAGCGAACAGGAAGCAGAAGAGGATCTCGTGTTTATTTTGTGGTAGTAGGAGACATCTTTACACTTTACACTTAATTATCTGGACTTTACACTCCCTCCTTCTTCTGCCTCTGAGTGGAACAGCAGCTTCACAAGCAGAGGATGGTGGGAGCAAAAGAATGAGGCACTCCAACAGAGCAAACCTGGGTAGAAGGGGGTGGGGGGGTTTCTTTATTTGAATGCTAACAGAGGCCAATTTGGATATGAAGCGTAGTCTCGATGGGGCGTTAGTGCAGATAAGCCGCCCTTCTCAGACCCAGACAAGCGGACAAATTGCTTCGGCGAATGTGATAGGTGTAACAAACACAAATTTAAAAAAAAGAAAGAAAAATGATGCTCACTGCAGCAAACTTCTGAGTGTATTTTCCTATTATCATCATGTGAAAGGTGGAAAAAAGGAGAAGAGGAAGCAGGAGGAGAAAAAGCTCTGCAGAGCTGCCTTCATAAAATTAGAATGAGCCTCGCTGCCAATTAAATCAGTCGCCTTTGCTGGAGTGAAGCTTGGCGAGTTTAGACGGGCAGGAATAATGAGGGGAAAAAGATAAGAATAAAGACAGAGAGATAAAAATTCAAAGTGACACTGTAGAAGCGACATTTCTGCTTTTCTGCTCAAACAGGAAGCTGAGACGTCTGCGGCGAGGAGAGGAAGCTTCAAACAAACAGCCAGCACTCTCAGGTTTTAGTCAAAGACTTTTCATATATATATTCATGTTGGCATTCAATTATGATTTACTATGGTACATTTAAACATATACAGGCAGATCTCACTGAATTTAAATAACTCAGTTTTTATTTATTTAAGAATGTCTGTTCAAAAAGTGAAAAATAAGTCAAAGTAATGTTATGACCAACAGAATCACAATAACTTGACCAGTGACCGTATGGAGAGGGTAGCCACACAGGTTTTTCTTTTCCTTTGTTTTTAACATGTCAATTACAATGAGCAAAAAAAAAAAGCAAAAAACACACTGTAAAGAGTATCCATTTATCTAACAGTGATCAAAAGCAACACTATGACAGACACAAAGTAGAAAAATATAAATCAAACTGTTGATTTGATGTGCAGATACAGTAAATAAATGAACTGCTGAAACAGTAATTTGTACATTTCTCAGGATAAAAAACACCTAATCCTACCAAAACCACTGTTCCAAGTTTGGTTTTTTTTTTACAGAAAATATGAATTCCTTTCCAAGTTTGTAATGGCCAAACACTGATTTCTAGTTCTATTCATTGCAAGAACACATTGGTGTGTATTTTCACAGCAGTGTGTGAATCTCATTGAGTTTGGGAGAGATGCAAGGGGTAATGACTGGGACTCGGCTCAGAGTTTCAGGAGCTACAGTGCTGCAAAGACATGAAGACGTGATGCTAAAAGGTCAAAAGATCAATTTTCTTTTGGAATTAAAGAGTCTGAAGGGAGAGTGGAATAAGACACAAACAGAGGAGCTTCAGATCCGACGTGAAGTTTCAACATTGGATCTCTGACGATTCTAAGTGCCATTTTGGTCTACTGTGTTTTATTTAGTCCAAAGTAAGCTCCCCCATTTACCAGAGCAACTTCCTTCCAATAATAAACTTTGTGGAGATGCTGAGTTCATGAATCTTTAATGACTAATTCAGCTAACCCAAACTCTACAAAGAATCTACTGTTAACATGAGACACAGACTCCCAAACCTATCAGAGCAACCTGAGCTTCGCTAACATCTGAGCAGAACCAGATGACCTCCATGTGACTGATGCAGCTCTGCATGTACAAGGAGGCCTGACCAAGTGG